GTAGGACTCCTTACTGTATGCTAGGCACTGTGCTAAAGTCCAATTGTGACTAAGATAACAGTGTTAGGTTAGCTCTTAGAGAAGTCAGTCTTTTGGTAAACCTAATCTATTATGAAACTAGTGCATATTCATCACATTTTGTTGTCTGTTTGCCTGGCAAGTCCCCCCTTCTTAGGTTATTCCAGAAATTCACAATCCATCCCTAATGTTTAGTAGGCCTTTATAGTTTTCTTAAGGGTCTAGAGTCCCCTGGCAGAAGCATTTATTCCTTCCTTATAGTCAGTGTTTGAAGGACTGGATGGTGGTCTTAACTACAAACCTGGTCTCACTTGGGAAAAACAGAACTCTTTCTTAGGGATTAGGAGGGGTGGAGGAAACAAAATGTCAACACGATTTAAAACAAACATTTGTGATCAGCTTGTGATTGCTCGCAGGGGGCAGTTCTTGCTATCTGATACTCCTGAAAGGCCTTTCAAAAAAAAAAATTCCTCTAAATCCCTGCTGAATCTGGTGTGTGTTAAGCCTGGCAATACTTGTGGCCATTGGTGTACTGATTTGCCTAAGTCTTAATTGTTAGATTGGGCCTGTCCAGTTTTAGTTAAGACTTGAACAGTGGGGGGTGTTAGGGTCTGGGAAATAGATGATAATGTCTGTACCATTTTTGCATATGGCATCCAGCTTTTATCTTAATTGTATACGTATTTATATTTAAGTTTGTGTTTTTGAGTTTGTTGGTGGAGTTTCTATTTTACATCTCAGAAATGGCTACATTTGCTTTAGAAGATTCTAGAACTACTTACGCTTTCCATGGACTGAAATATAAAATGTTAATTTTCTTTAGGAGATTATCTGTATAGATTTTTGGAATAAAAGATGGTCCTTTTAATCATAGCATCTATTTTTTTTTATTATTTAGTAGTGTCTATTAAGTAGGATTTCTTATCTTTTTTTAAGAGACAGGTCTTGAGCTATTGCCCAGGCTGGAGTCCAGGGTATAGTGGCAGTTACAGCTACTGTGAAATCCTGAGCTCAGGGGATCCTCTTTCCTCAGCCTCCTAAGTAGATAAGACTACAGGCACACACCAGCAAATTTTTTTGTAGAAATGAAGTCTTACCTTGTTGTCCAGGCTATTCTCGAACTCTTGGCCTCAAGGGATCCTCCTGCTTCAGCCTTCCAAAGTGCTGGGATTACAAGCATGTGCTGCTGTGCCTAGCCTACAGAGTCTATTTCTGAGGCTCTCCTATGTTGTATAGTAGGGCTTGGGTCTTATCCATGGACATGCTTTGAAAACACAAAGAGATTTTTCTGTTTGTTTTGACGTTATATTTGGAGGAAAAAATCTTAAGCAATTGCTTGTTAATTTGACAGGCATTGGGCATAATGGAGTAAGTTATAAACATCAGTATTTCCTTTTCTCCTCCTGTTTTTGTAGTTGGCTCTCAGCTCTTGAAAGCACGAAATGGCTCCATCACCTGTCTGTGCTTCTGAAATCAGCACTTCTAGTGGTGCATGCTGTGGATCGTGATCAGCGACCGGTGCTAGTACACTGTTCAGACGGCTGGGACCGCACCCCTCAAATTGTGGCATTGGCAAAGCTCTTGCTGGACCCTTATTACCGAACCATAGAGGTAAGCACATCCAAAGAACAAGGTTTGGTACTTCAGGATGAGTGGGGGAAAGGTCTCTGGGGGTTTATTATCAGGTCTAAAAAAAAATGAAATTTCTGCATTTTTAATTATTATTTCTTTACATTGAGCTAAATTGTAGTGGTGCCTCCCACAGTTCTTGCTCCTTGTAAAATGATGTATATTATGGGTAACAAGGTACTTAAGAATGTGGACATACTTTCTTTTGCAGCCTACTTGGGAAAGTTTTAGCTGCCTCAGAAAAATGGGGCTTCTATAAAAGAATTTTGGCATGCTTATTAGGATAGAGATCTTGATATTACCACAGAGCATCTGTGGAGAGGAGACCTACTTAAAGATACAAGAGAACCTGTAAAGTACCCTAAAATATGTATGAAAATTAGTAAAAATGTGAGGTAGGGAAGACTTTGTAAGTATAACACTAAAGGCAGAAATTTTAAAATAAAAGAGAAATTTAGAAAAATAAGTGTGGCTTTTATATAGTGAATGAAAGAGGCCAAAGAACAGACTCAAGAAAGGCTTAGATAAATGCACAGTTAGTACCCTTCCATTGACTATGGAATAACCATCAGGGAATTGAGAACTTTCCCTAAGCACATGTCTCATCCAGGAAAGACCCTTTGGCTCAGGGCCTGGGCTGGATGGGCTTACTGGAAGGAAGACTGTTAAAGGGGGTTGCTGTCTGTGACATCAGGCTCAGGACTGTCACAGTCTGGACAGTCCAGCACAAATGGTCTTTCCTGGGTGCTTCCCTGCAGGGTTTCCAGGTCCTCGTGGAGATGGAGTGGCTGGATTTTGGCCATAAATTTGCTGACCGGTGTGGTCATGGGGAGAACTCGGATGACCTGAATGAGCGTTGCCCAGTGTTTCTGCAGTGGCTTGACTGTGTTCATCAGCTTCAGAGGCAATTTCCTTGCTCTTTTGAGTTCAATGAAGCATTCCTTGTGAGTTTGGGTTTGTGATTCTTCATTTCAGAGACTGTCTCAATTTGAGAAGGTGTCAGTACACATATTAGTGGGCAAATTTTCACATGAAACTCTGTGGCCTTTTTAGAGTTTAATAGAGGGATGATTTTTTTCCTTCCATATTTATTAAAGAAAAAAACATTGGCTGAGTGTGGTGGCTCATGCCTGTAATCCTAGCACTCTGGGAAGCTGAGGCTGGTAGGTTGCCTGAGCTCAGGAGTTTGAGACCAGCCTGAGCAAAGGAAGACCACATCTCTACTAAAAGTAGAAAAATTATCCAGGCATGGCGGCAGGCACCTGTAGTCCCAGCTACTTGGGAGGCTGAGATAAGTGGATTGCTTGAGCCCAAGAGTTTGAGGTTACTATGAGCTACGATGCCGTGACATTCTATTCAGAGTGACCGAGTAAGACTCAAAAAAAGAAGAGAAGAGAAAAGAAAGAAAAAAAAACTTTAAAACAGGCATTTGTTTACTCAGTGAATCCATAGTTAGTAGGTTGAGTAGTTTTAAGCTTAGCTTTTAAAAGGGGTGATAGAAAACTTAACTAGCAGAAGCAATCAGAATGTCCTCTGCTCCCTCCAATCCATCTGCCAACTCCCCTATATCTGTACCATGTGCTGTGTCCTCTCCTGTGACAGAGGATGCACCCTATCCTTGCCTTCTCCCAGCCCTCTGTCCATGTGTACATCAGCTCCCGTTCTCTCTCACCTGCTCAACTGAGCAGCCCCTGCTTTCTCCTGTCTGTCTTCTGTGTCGGCATGTTTACCTCCCTCCTGAGGTTGTGGCCATCAGTGTATGAGATGGGGCCCTTAAGTTCATGAACTAGGCTCGGTGCCTGTGGCTCAAGCGGCTAAGGTGCCAGCCACATACACCTAAGGTGGCAGGTTCGAATCCAGCCTGGGCCCACCAAACAACAATAATGGCTGCAACCAAAAAATAGCCAGGCATTGTGGCGGGCACCTGTGGTCCCAGCTACTTGGGAGGCAGAGGCAGGAGACTCGCTTTAGCCCAGGAGTTGGAGGTTGCTGTGAGCAGTGAAGCCATGGCACTCTACCCAGGGGGATAGCTTGAGGCTCTGTCTCAAAAAAAAAAAAAAGTTCATGAACTAATCCCAGAAAAAGTGCTGTGTACCTCATTACTGAATATCAGTACAGTCAAAGTACTCCCTTTGGGAAGCTAGGCGCTGATGCCAGCATCTAGTCTACCTTTCAAAGCAATTTTGGATCTTTTTCTGGAATATCCATCAGAGCTGTCATCATATGAGGTCTGACAGTTAAATTCATGAACTCATCCTAGAAAAAGTGCTGCATACATCTCTGCCAAAGGGAAGCACCTCAAAGATGACTGTAGTGATTGATAGTCAGCATGAGGGTAGATAGCACTTTTTCTGGGATAAGTTCGTGAGCTTAATTGTCCAACCTCATACAAATGTGGTGTAGTGTCTCCAGTACCCTTTCTTGGTCCTGTGTTCCTCTCTAGCCTATCATCGCTTTCTCAGTTCCTCTTTACAGCAGAGCTCCTCAAATCTGTCACACTTGCTATCTCAAATTCTTCCCTTTCCACCTTCTTAAACCCATTCCGATTAGGCATTCACCCTGCCACTTTACCAAAGCTGCTCTTGTTAAGGTGACCAGCAACCTTCCTGTTGCTAATGCAGGGTTTACTTCTTAGGCTTCATTTCTCATCTGTCATCACCATATAGTACAGTTCAACGCTTCTTGCTTGAAATGCTCTCTTCAGTTACTGTCTAACACTTCCTTGCTCTTAGTTCTCCTCTTACCTTACTGGCTGGTCCTTTCTATCTCCTTTGTTGATTTGTCCTAATCTCAGTTCTGAATGTCAGAATGCCCCACAGCTCAGCCTCCAGGCTGCTTCTCATCTACACCCTTCTCTAAAGTTCTCAGCTGGTCCAGTGACTTTATGCTGAGGAGTCCTACATTCATACACCTTCAGTTCAGACCTTTCCACTTAACTGCAGCCTCAGTATCTCCACTTGGGTGTCTTAATGTTATTTCAGACTTAATCAGTTCAAAACTTAATTCTTGATTTTTCTATCTCCCCACCATAAAACCTGATCTTCTAGACGTTTTCCATCTCGTTGTACAGCTCCTACATCCTTCCAGTCATTTAGGACAATAAAGCTTTTTGCCATCCTCAACTCTCTTTTATACCCTACATTGTTTGTCAGAGTCTGCAGGTCTGCTTTCAAAATATATCTAAACCCTGATTACTTACTGCCACTCCTCCAGATGCCGCAATGGTTTACACCATCATCTCCTGTCCTAATTCGACAACCCAGCACAGAGTTCCTCCTGAAATATGAGATAGACAATGTCATTCCTCTGCTCCAAAACCTCTAGTGGCTTTACATTTCACACAGAGTAAGAGCCAAAGTTCTTACAGTGGCCTTCCTAAAGTCACTCATCTAGGCTTTCCCCTTGTGCAGCCTCCTTTAGTCACATCAGCCTCCTTGTTGATACTTGTCACAAGCATGTGTGCCTGCAGTTGCCTCTTCTGGAGCACTGTCCCTCCATACCCATATGCCTGTTCCCATTTTCATCAGGTCCCAGCAGTAAGGCCTTCCCTTCCCATACTGATCCACACCTGCCTTGCTCCTCTCACCCTGCCTCGTTGTACACCATAGTGCCGGTTACCCTTTACCTACAACTAAACTCCAACAAGGCAGAAGCACTGGCTGATTATTGCTGGCTGGCCAGCACCATAGTCATGTCTGGGGCGTGTGAAATGCTCAGTGATGCTTTGTTGAATGAACAAATAGTTTTACAAGTGTACTTTCCAATCAGACTTGAGTTGTACCCAGACCTGCTCCTGTACCCAGTTCTTATTCTTTGTTGCTTGTGAGAGTGGCTTTTAACTCAGAATCTCAGAGACTGTTTACCAGGGAAGCTAAGAGGAGTGAAAGTGCCAACAATCTTTGACTCAGGAGTGATGGTGGTTAAAGTCAGGCCCTGGAATTGGTATGAGGAGAAGGCTATTGCTTGGCTTGTCAGGCTCCCCCAGCAGAGTGAGCTAAAGCATTCTTGGGGATGTCAGGATAGGATCAGAGAATGCATGTCCTTTTACTTAATTTTTGCCTCATTGGACTTCCATAGGTGAAACTGGTACAGCATACCTATTCTTGCCTCTTTGGAACATTCCTGTGCAACAATGCTAAGGAGAGAGGGGAAAAGCATACACAGGAACGGACGTGCTCCGTGTGGTCACTTCTTCGAGCAGGCAACAAGGCTTTCAAAAACCTACTGTATTCCTCTCAGTCAGAAGCCGTATGTATTTTTTAGCCTTTCCTTTGTGATCAGCAGAAGGAATTTGGGGGTGGGGGACATATGGGAACCTTTCAAGTAGTGATTGTTTTTGTGACAGCATCTCTGCTATCTCTGGGTAGGCTGGTGCCATTTTCCCCCTACCATTCTGTCCTAAGAAAGGCCTGCTTCCTGGTGATGCTTTGACCTTCGTCTGACTGCTCTCTGCTCAGGGTCGTTTGGTTGAACATGCACCTCTACTTTGCCACCTTAAACCTGAATCTTTTCTGGCACCCCTGCTAGAGCTTATTTCTAGCATGTTTTGTGTAATGGGTAGAAGAGGCATTTAAGTTGTTTCTTGGATGCCACCGATAGCTCAAAATGTGCTGCCACCAGGCTCTCCCTGTGTCAACAATGATATCCACTGCAGCTTCTGCCTCTAGAGAACAGGAAACTGTTTGACATTGGTGTGTGTGTTTTTGTGAGTCTTTGCTCACGTGGAGAGCTGGCAGGCCTGTTAAGACTTTGTTCCCCAAAGGAATACCTTCCATTAATCAGAGAAAAAGAGGCACATCTATGTGAAGACATGATAATGTTCCCTTTGTCAGCACGCACCTTAAACCCTAAAGAAGTCAAAAGGAGGCTGATTAGAGGTTTTATTACTTTGCTGGACTATTTTTTTTTTTTTAGCAGTTTTTGGCTGGGGCTGGGTTTGAACCTGCCACCTCTGGCATATGGGGCCGGTGCCCTACTCCTTTGAGCCACAGGCGCCACCCAACTTTGCTGGACTATTAATATACTTCTCACTACATTTATGTCATCCAGAAAAGGGTAGAAGATAACTGCTTCTCTCCCCTTTATTGTGCTGGCTGGGGAAATAGCAGTACAGGAAGAAAATTCCCTCCTTTTCACATGACTAATTTAAATGAGCCTATAAAACAGGTTTGACAGTGTCTACTGAAGCCAAGCTTTTGTACCAGAGGAATAGATAATTACCGTCTAACAGAATAACTCTCTTGTGCAGTAAAACCAACAAATCAAGCTCTTGAAAGTCATTCATATAATGAAGGTGACACGAAAAATAGTTAACATGAAAGGAATCTTTAAAAAATCCTTTAGATATTCACACCCACAAGGGGCTGTAGTTGGAAAATGTTGCCATGTGATGTTTCAAGGTATTGGTATTGGTCTTTTTGGGAAATAAAGGCACAGATGCTGCCTCTTGTGGAGACCCCGCTAGCCCTGTTGGATATTCAGCTGGGTACCTATTCTTGATTCTCATTGCAGACATTTCTAGAAGACTTATTGGGACATTTTAAACCCTTATCCTCCCGTCTCTCTTCAGGTGCTGTACCCCGTGTGCCATGTGCGTAACCTGATGCTGTGGAGTGCCGTGTACCTGCCCTGCCCATCCCCGTCCACCCCTGTGGATGATAGCTGTGCACCATACCCAGCCCCAGGCACCAGCCCTGATGATACCCACCTTAGCCGGTGAGCCCAGACATGGTCAGAGATTGTGCTGTGGTCTAACTCTGCAGCATCTTTCTTAGATCTCTACAGCTTTAGAGGGATGTTATAATGATTTCTGACCTATGAAACTGTGAAGTGAGCTAGGCCCTGTTGTTTCTTTATTCTTTTGCACACACTGAGCAGTTTCCCAGTGATGGAGCAAATTCTTTAGGTTTTCCCTGAGCCCCTAATTTTTGTTTCACCCTCTGCTCTGTGCTCTTGCCATGAAGGAAGCATCCGAGACTTAAAGGGCACATGTAGTCAGATGATAGAAAATTTGGCTTTGCCACTTGTGACTTAGCTTTATTAAATTCAGACTAATAGGTAATGCATTAATTTAAAATGTTATATCAAAAAAATCAACAATGCTACTTTGCCATAAGCTGAGAAACAGCAGCATCATGAAGAACATCTTTTTGAAAATAGCACTTGCTGTTTGCTTATTTATATGTGTGGGTATGGGATGAGGAAATCTGCAGACAGGAGGACTCTGGAGCCTTGCTGCTCCAACAGTCTGAGCCTCCCTCCAGAGATGTCACAGTTCCTTAAGTAGCTGTAATGGGCCCAATTATGAAGCAACAGCTTGTTAAAAGCTATCATCTCCTTCTTCCCTCTGAATAGTCTGTGAGATTCTCATTTTACCCAAACTCCTTTCTTTTAGGCTACCAAAGACTAGATCATTCGACAATCTGACCACAGCCTGCGACAACACGGTGCCTCTGGCCAGCCGGCGTAGCAGCGACCCCAGCCTGAATGAGAAGTGGCAGGAGCACCGGCGCTCGCTAGAACTGAGCAGCCTGGCTGGTCCCGGAGAGGAGCCTCTTGCTGCTGACAGCCTGGGGAAGCCCACCAGAGTGCTGGGGGGTGCCGAGCTGTCTGTTGCAGCTGGAGTGGCCGAAGGGCAGATGGAGAACATTTTGCAAGAAGCCACCAAAGAGGAGAGTGGAGTAGAGGAGCCTCACAGAGGGGACAGTGAGATGCAAGAAGTCACAGAGGAGACTCTCTTAACAAAAGAGAAGGGAGGGCAGAAACCTGAAGGCTCAGCAATGGGACTTCATCAGGATCCTGAACCGAATGATGCTGCTCTGAGGAGTGAACCAGGCACAGGCCTAGCTCTGTTCCCACAGGGTGTTCCTGAGCAGCAGGGTGGGCACAGTGTTCTCCCCAGTTCTCTCCAGGTCCCACCCAAGGGAGAGAATTCCCAGGAGGTCCCTGTAGAGCAGCCTCGAACAGGAGAGACTGCAGAGGAGAGAGAGGAAACAGTCCTTCCAGTCCTAACAGATGTAAAAGTTGGCTATGATACCTCACAGTCACATTCTCTCATACCTTCCCAAGTCCCATTTGAGACCAGAGGACCAAACCTGGACAGTTCCATGGACATGTTAATGGATGATAAGGTGAAGTCAGAAAGTGGGCCCCAAGGCCACCAAATACCTTGCCTGGTGAACAGTGGTGGGTTCGGTGGCAAGGATGTGCTTCCCCAAACTGTGGAGCCCAGGCCTTTGGAGAGGAGCCTGGTTGAGAGGCCCCAGGTGGTAGGATCTGTGGTGCACAGGACTTCCTATGGCAGTACCTTCAGTCCAACACGTTCCCCTTGTGCCTTGCCTTTAGCTGAATGTAAAGAGGGACTTGTGTGCAACGGTGCCCCAGAGACTGAAAATAAGGCCTCAGAACAGCCCCCAAGGCTTAGCACTCTCCAGAAATACTCTGCACCCAATGGGCACTGTGCCAGTGGGGAGGCAGCTAGGAACAAGGACTCACTGAGCTGCCAGCTGTCTGCTACAAGCTGCAGCTCTGCCCACTTACACTCAAGGAACTTGCACAAGTGGCTACACAGCCACTCTGGAAGACCGTCTGCCACCAGTAGCCCCGACCAACCTTCCCGCAGCCACCTGGACGATGATGGCATGACTGTGTATACAGACACAATCCAGCAGCGTCTGCGTCAGATTGAATCAGGCCACCAGCAGGAAGTGGAAACCTTGAAGAAACAAGTTCAGGAGCTGAAGAATCGCCTGGAGAGCCAGTACCTGACCAGCTCCCTACGCTTTAATGGGGACTTTGGTGATGAAGTGGTGAGTGGCCCAAGGTTCCTTCATAGCTGTCCAAGGAGATGGGGTGCACTGAGGCAGGGCACCCATTGTGCTCAGTGCATGGTGATTGGTACAGATTTCTAAAAGGACTGGAATAGTCCAGAGCAGCCCTGTTGAGAGAGGCTGGATATTAGCCTCAGCCGTGTCAGTGGCAGCTTGCCTCTTCTTTTTGCTTTGCTTACTACTTTCTGCAGATATCCTACAGGAAGAGAGTTAGCACATACTTCATGGTTGACTAAATTTTTTCGTGTCTTCAGAAAGGCTTGAACTCCTGGTCAGAATGATGTTAGTAGGGCAGCACCAAATACTCCTGTCAAGTTGTAGTACCCATCCTACCTTAGTAACTAGTAAAAGTATTAGTCCTCCCAGACACGGGCTGAGACACAGGTCTCACTGCATTGCTTATCCTGGCCTCGAACTCCTGGTCTCAAGTGATCCTCCAACCTTGGC